CTTCAATTTGGTATATTGGTTCTTGACAAAAGGTGGCCGGAGGACGGAGTTATGGTAGTTCAAAATTGGCACCTCAAAACTGTTCAAAATCCGGGTTAGCTCAATTTGGTCATTTATATTTGAACTAAATGCATAACGGTCCTCCATCGACCGTTTGTGAAAGAAACTTAAACTTCAGTGACCGTTTGTGAAAGTGCATGGAATTTCGGTGACCGTTTCTGCAAATTTTGAACTTCAGTGACCGTTTTGTTATTTTTACGTAAGTTCAGTGACCATTTGTGAAATTAACCCCTAATATTTAATATCATATAGCCCTAGTTAATTTGGATTAAAATTCAATTAAAATTTTAAATCAAAATTAATAATTAATTTTAATCATATATTTTATGAGATTCACAACTTTACAATCACATATTTCATTAATTTTTATCAAAATTTATTAAAAATCTAATTTTAATAGGTATCAAATAGGAGCACAATTATTATATAAAATGGCACCAGTAATACTAAAATAGGATCATGCATTAGCTCCTTCCTTCTCAATGCCCGCGCCCTCACGTAGATTTATAGCTATACCTTCGTTATCCAGGCAGATGGTCACCCCTTGGGTTTCGACTTACTCGTTTCAGATTCCTATTCCTAGCCAATAGCCCAATAGCATTGTAAACACAAATACGCTTGAGAGAGTCTTCCACATCAATGGTTGCTGGGAAGGTAAAAGAGGTAATGGGTTTTCAAAAATCTTCATCAAACCAAAAGCAAAAGCCACAGATATCTCCTAAACCACCACCATCATCCATGCCGACATCCGGAAACCACAAGGGAAACGGCACCGTATTCTCAAGCTCATTCGGTGTTTACTTACCACGCGCCTCCGCACAGGTCCAGCCCCGTCCCCCTGACATTAGCGAGCTCCTCCGCCTCGTCGAAGAATTACGTGACCGAGAGTCCCGTTTTAAAACCGAACTCTTAGAACATAAGCTGCTCAGAGAGTCAGTCGCCATTGTTCCGGTTCTCGAAAATGAGATCTTAAACAAAGAATCGGAAA